TATAGGTGGTGGGGGGGGGGGGAATCATAATCAAAAGTATTTAATTAATATTGAGACCATGATTGTTTAATCACTTAATGACTTTGGAAACATTGTGCATTTACTAAAGTTAAAACAAAAACTTAAATAATAGATTTCCTTTAAACATAATACACTATTTCAATATAATAAATATAATAATTCAATAAATAATAACAACATCAAAATAAATAAACATTGTCTTCATTTCACTCTGCTCAGTATGACTCTGGTTTCACCTTCAATGCAATTTGACCTTCTTTTATGATCTGCCAGGCAAAATCACAAGTCTGATTGATAGTTTAACTACTAGCACAGCTTTCCTCAACAATTATCATTCACATATGTCGAAAGAACATCGCAGGATGAGTTACCAAAGCAATGCTGCCTTACAAAGCTCTGCTAAATATCATCACCTGGTCACTTGTCTAAAGAAATAATTGTGAAGCAAGCCATGCCACTGTCCCATCTCAGTGGATATCACAAATGTCATGCACCCAAGTGATCTATAAAGCTTCTCATAAACCTGTAAGAGGCTCTAAGGCAGATCCAAACTCTGCAGGACACCAGCCCTCCAGGACTGAGTTTGGAGACCCGTGCTCTAAGGTGCTTACCTGTGCCAGACTTGGCATTGGCAACAGTCATTATTCCTATATCGCAGAGCAAGCTCATCATGGCTAAGACAAAATTTGTCTTCAATAGCAATGAGAACCATGCACCTGGGTACAGGAAGAAGCAGGTCCACATCAGAATGTTTACTCACTCCATCACTCTGTGCTCGTTTTCCATTTTCATTGAAAACAGAATGAAGAAGTCAAACGGTTATGATAAAAACACATATCAGAGAAATTTTTAACCATGCAGTGTCAGCCAAGTGCATGAGATTCATCCATTTAAATCTTGTGTCACTGAAACCTTTTAGAAGGCCCTTGAACTATGCATGAGGTGATTTCAAGAGAAAAGGACTTTACCCACAAACAAACCATCTTTACACACAACAGTGCATCCACATGATCAGAGACACACGATCAAAGATATTCTACAAGCAAAACCTAGATCTGTTTCTGTCGATTGCTGATTATAGCTTTAACATAAACACCACAATCCTACGATATGTGCGTTTATACAGAGAAGCACATACGATAGGTTTTGTGTAGAAACAAGCAAAACTCTGAAAAAAGCTGTACTTTAGCAATGGCAAAAACATTTAATTCAGCATCTCTGGATATTATAATAGCACCCGTTTATGATGAGGAAATGTGGCATGAGTATTTTATTTTCATACACGTCAATCCAGCGCAGAAAGGATAATATTCTGACAACAGAATATAACACTACATGCTATATGTAATGACTCACCTGCAAAATGAATTTCAGTGCAGTTCACAGAACCTCTGCTCACCCTCTGCTCATCTGGAGCTCATGGAGACAGAAAAACCTGTGAGAGGACAGATTTCCAACATTTTTAAAAACTGCCAAAGCCCACCTGTCAGTGGGTTTACATAAAACAATGCACCAAGACTATATTAACTGAGATTGGCATCTGGTTGAAAAACTAATACTTGCATTTAATTACCACTGCATTGTTGTGGGAAAATGAGCAGACAGCTAAATGCAAGCAAAAATAACAATCCCTTTATTAAAAACAAAACAAAAGAGAAGCTCACTTACAAATGACTCTGCAAAGTTCCTCTGAAAGTAATAAAACACTTCCGCATGATCACAGAGAATGATGTTTCCACTACGCTTTTAACAGTTAATGCATGGCGGTCTTTGCAGTTAGTTTAAACGTAACAGTTTGAACAAACATTGATTTTATTTTGTGTTGAATGTAAGCTTCTCTTACATGCTCCTCCACTTTGAAACACCTTGGCCTAGTTACGTTTTCCCCAGCCTTTTGGCCTCAAGCTTTAGTGCGAACATACTCTTCTACAGCATACTGTGCAACCCACATCATGTACAGTGGTTCATAGCAAATCACACAAGACAGAGTCAGCAGCATGTGATTACTCTGCTCGCTTTAAATTACCAGTGTACTGTGAGTTGTGCAACAGTGATGGGCTTCAACATTAGACTCCTAAAAACTTTAGCCTTTTTCCAATTAATAATGGTGTTGGATGGAGTGATTGAAACATTATATGTGACTTTGTAGTTTCTTTTGGATTCTTGTGGCTTCATACAAAATTACCCCCTGTGAAGTGAGACAGGAAGGCCGCTGTCTTGATCTCGTAATGACTCCCAATCAGATTAAACTTCTACGCTTATTCTTAATCTGTTGTATTCACCTGCCGTCACACGGTTCTCACGGTTGCAAAGGGGTGGGAAAAACATTAAGAATGTTTCCAAAATTTACTGGAAATTTTCCATCTTTTTGCAACCATAGTCATAGTATAAATGGATATGCATTGTATTGGACTTGAAAAGACATGAATTAGTACATTTTTACTTCCACTACGCTCTTAACATGCGTTTAGGAAGAACACATATCTTTTAGGGAAGTAAACCTTTAACATACACACCACAAAACTGAGATACACTACCAGTCAAAAGTTATGGGTCAGTATATTAATAGAGCAAATTCATATAATTTCATATATAATGATCATATAAAAGCAGGGATGCATTCAATTGACAATAAAAGTGACTAAAGAATGTTATTGTTTCAAAATATTTCTATTTTAAATAAATGCTGTAGGCTACTTCTGAACTTTCTATTCATCAAAGAACCCTGAAAAATAAATGTATCATGGTTTCCACAAAAAAATATTTAGCAGCACAACTGTTTTCAACATTGATAAATATTTCTTGAGCACCAAATCATCATATTAAAATGCTTTCTGAAGCACCATGTGACACTGAAGACTGGAAAATTTAGCTTTGCCATCACAGAAATAATTTACATTTATAATAATATAGTGATAATTGCTGTTTTTACTGTAATTTCAATCAAATAAAAGCAGTAAAAAATTTACTAATTCATGTCTTTTCAAGTCCAATACAATGCATATCCATTTCAAGGCTTAAGGAAGTAGAAAAATACTATGACTGTGGCGTAGGGTTGCAAAAAGGTGGAACATTTCCAGTAAATTTTGGAAACATTCCAGGATTTTTTTTTAGAATATTCCAGGGATTTTTGTAAAGTTTCCGGAAAATTAACCAGAAATTTTCCCACCCCTTTGCAACCGTGAGAACCGTGTGACGGCAGGTGAATACAACAGATTAAGAATAAGCGTAGAAGTTTAATCTGATTGGGAGTCATTACGAGATCAAGACAGCGGCCTTCCTGTCTCACTTCACAGGGGGTAATTTTGTATGAAGCCACAAGAATCCAAAAGAAACTACAAAGTCACATATAATGTTTCAATCACTCCATCCAACACCATTATTAATTGGAAAAAGGCTAAAGTTTTTAAGGAGTCTAATGTTGAAGACCATCACTATTGTTACAGCAGAGTCTTAACTTTGATAAAGAATATCTCTTTGGTTTTGAGACTTTAGTCTTTGCAACTTCAGGGATCTTATCTATGCACAATCAGCTTGTAACACTCCAAAGAGAAAGGAAAACTTGAAATCGCATCATATGACCCCTTTAACAAAAATAAAAACGTAGCCATCATCGTCATGAAATATTCAGTTTGCAATAACAGGATCACACTTTAAGCTATGGTATTATCATTATCAGCTTTGACACCGTAATAAAATAAGATATAGGATTTTCAGGTACATCTTCAGTCCAGGTGGTGACCTCTATTTTAATCTTATTGTCCAGAACAGGGCAGCATCAACACATTTAAAGCATTTATTTACAATTATATATTACTGTTGGGGAGTAACATGTAACGGAATTACGTCATTTCATTACAAGATAAATGTAACTGTAATCTGTTACAGTAACAGATAAATGTGTAATTAATTACAGTTACTTATGAAAATGTTAACGATTACAAAGGGGGTTACATCTGAATATTTTTACACATACAGATATGATTGATTTCTTTCCCAAATTGCATTTACTGTTTTAAAATATGAGTCACCAATGTTTCAGGAGTTTAGAACACAGAATAGGACACATGCTCATTCGATAACTGTTTTATTTCCTTTTTGGGTTTATGCATATGTTTTTTTTTTCATTAAATGCCAGTGTTTCCTGTCGTATTCAAATTCAAAATTCAAGGATTTGATTTCAAAACAGTATCATAACTATTAAACTATATCTTATGATTGTAAAGGGGTCATATGATGCGATTTCAATTTTTCCTATCTCTTTGAAGTGTTACAAGCTCTTGGTGCATAAAGAAGATCTGTAAAGTTGCAAAGACTAAAGTCTCAAATCCAAAGAGATATTCTTTATAAAAGTTAAGAGTCAGCCCCGCCTACCTAAAACGGCTCGTTCTAACATGCCCCCACATATCTACGTCGATGTGGGAAGATTTGCATAACGCCGCCCAAATGTTCACACAAAGAAAGAAAGCATAACTTTTATTCTCGCTGTAGTATTGATGCCGCCGCCATGTTGTGAAGACGCTGTGTGCTTCGTTGTGAAAGCGAAACTACTTTGTTTGGCCTTCCAAAAGAGGACGATATCCGCTTCGTCATGCCTAGAGCTGATCCATGCCATATTTAAAGGATTTGCTACTGATGATTCAAACGTGAGTTTTGAGCAGTGTAGAGTAGCGCTTGTTGTTTGTCATTTCTTCGATCACAAATGCAGATATGGTTTTATGTTTATGCAGCGCGATGCGTGAAAAGACAGTATAAGTCATTATAATCCGTAATTATGTCCCCACTGGATGCAACAAATGCCTCGTTTATAATGGGTTTTATTGGTTTTGTCTCGTCGCTCCGGCCAGATAGGGCATCACAATATGGTAAGGGGCGCAACATTTCCGTCTCACGCTTGAGGTATTCCCAAATTGCACTGACTGCTCTAAAATATGAGACACCAATGTTTCAGGAGTTTAGGACACAGAACAGGACACATGCTTATTTAATAACTCTTTTATTTCCTATTTGGGTTTATGTATATGCTTTATTTTTCAAGATTAACTTTTTTCGGCATTGTTAGATACCAGTGTTTCATAGCTGGTTTGATTTCAAAAACAGTATCATAGCGATTAAACTATATTTTGTTATGATTTTAAATCTGTATTTAACCTCAGAATGACATCAAAAAAAAAGAAGTGCTAAAGTCTGATTTTGTGATGGCTGTGCTTTAAAATTAAATTATTATAAATCTCAATTCAAGTGAAGAAGGATTTTGAAAGTCTGACAGTAATCAGTGTTGAGTACTACTGTAAGGTTAACCCTGCCTGCTTTTATATATTCATTGAGGGACTCTACAAGCTGATGTCCCAAAAACCTCACTATATATTTATAAATATGAGAGATGTCATTTGATATCAGGTATTTTAAATAAGTGTTTTGTTCTCTGTTGATATTAAAATGTATTTTAGAAACTTAAATTTCTTTTAAGGTCTGAAAAGTAGCCAAAACCTAAGAATATATTCACAAATTATAAATGTTTTCAGTCTATTATGAGGTTAAAAATGTGTCTGTGGTTTAATTAATGTACAACCACTAATATTAATTTCTTCAATGCATTTAATTCACAAACACTGTATAATTAATAATACAGAATATAATGACCAAAGTGTATGAACAGTATCAGAGCAAAGGTTTAAAGCTGCACACTGCCACTCTCTGGTCACCGCTGACATCACTTGGTGGATGGAAAAAATCTTCCATTACCAATTGGATATTACCTTTAATCTGTGAAGACACAATTATATAACATGAAAAAGTGAGAGAGGCAATTATATATATATATATATATATATATATATACAGTGGGTACGGAAAGTATGGCTGTATTAGATCAAAAGGGTGCTTCTACTAAATATTGAGCAAAGGGTCTGAATACTTAGGACTTGTGATATTTCAGTTTTTCTTTTTTGATAAATCTGCAAAAATGTCAACAATTCTGTGTTTTTCTGTCAATATGGGGTGCTGTGTGTACATTAATGAGGAAAAAAAATTAACTTAAATGATTTTAGCAAATGGCTGCAATATAACAAAGAGTGAAAAATTTAAGGGGGTCTGAATACTTTCCGTACCCACTGTATATAAAAGAGAACGTTTTTATAAACTTCTTTTTTAATGTAAAACAATGAAGGCTTAAATAACACAAAAAGATAATATCCAGTCCCCAGCTAAATAAAATGTTGTAGTTTTAACCTGATCTGGTCATGTTCAGTGCCTGCTTCATCATATGTTGACTCAGGAATGCTTTCTTGTGTCTCTCTCAACAGCCGACTCAAGAACATGGGCTCAGGACTGCTTCTTTTCCCATACCTGAGAGAGGTTAGGACAATCAGAGCAACAAAAGCATCAGAGGAAATAAAAAGGCTGCACAAAATTAACTTATTCCCAACATA